TGCACACCTGCGATCTCTGCAATTCCGGAAAAATACCCTGCCTTTCGCGGGTCCCAGAAAAACCTTTTCGCGTTGGTCCCAGCTATACTGCTCGGGCCGCTCCTCCTCGTTCTCAGGCCAGTCTTCTGCTCCGTAGAGAAAAAGATGCCCATGATCCTGGCCTGCGGGTCTTGCCGGGCTGCACGCTCGCGCAGGCACTTCCTGGAGTGTGGTGTGTGTGAGCCCTCACCACCCCCGCGGACCATCCCCCGGAGCCGTCCAGCCACCCGCAGCCCCTTAGGCAGCCAGGCCCAGCACCCCTCACATATATCTATTTTTAAACTTTACATAAAAGTCATATCAGAATATTCCTCTCATCCCATGTTCTACTGTTTTCATTCTAATAACTATGCTTCTTTATTTTTAACAACTAAATTGTGATTCATTATATGATGTACCATAATTTATTGAGAAAGAAACTTCTTGATGAAGAGGCTCATCCCAGTCATTTATGTTATCACAATGTTACAGTGAATATCCTTCTACATACTGAGGCATACTGAGTCTATCTGTAGGCTAAAATCTTAAAAGTAGAATTAATGCCTCAAAGAGTATATGTTCAACATGTTGATAGAAGTGGGTCAAGTTGGTAGCATGGACTTCTTTCCCCCTCAGGACTAGAGATTGAAGGCAGGGTCTTCACACTGAATCACATCCCCAACCCTCCTTTGGGAGGGAGTAGAGAGTCTGGATAAGCTGCTAAATTACCCAGGCTGGACTCCAGTTTGTAATCCTCCTGCCTCAGCCTCCCAGAGTGTTGGAATTACAAGTGTATACAACCGCTCCTGGATAGCAAGGGCTTTTAAAGACATCACTGGCCTTTGTGTGTGTAGCCAGCTGACAGGCTCTGGGGAGGCTTTGGCTGTGAAGAAGGCCAGGAGAGCTCGCTGTGCCTGGAAATTATGGAGACAGGGAGGGTCTGGCCAAAGAGCCTGACAGCTTTAGGAAGCTACCAGGCAGAAAGGTCCTGGCTAATTCTGCCAACGTTTTTGAGGATGAAGTCAAAGCCACAGCTTTTGCGCAGTCTGTACTGGGTTTCAGCAAGTGATAAAACTGTGCTACTTGACACATTTCTTTAAGTGCTCTTTTTATGATGTACCAGATAAAGAACGGAACAGATAATTATAGTTCTTGCTTGACAGCTACTGAAAAAAATATATTTTTTAGACTTCCTGGGATTTCCACTTTTCAAATTCCTTTAAATTTGAGGAGTCTTTTTTTTTTTTGAGAAGTCTTATATGAGGTTGTCACCTATTTTTTAACCTTCAGTTTGTCATATATCATTAAAGGCATTTTTAAAAGACCCACAAAACTATGCATTGTGAATAAAAAACAGATTGAGGTTCATAGGCCTAGAAAATGGTTTTCTAAATCTGTGTCTTATTGCTGGTATGAAATAAAAGAATTGACGTAAATTATAATAACCTTGCATGGTAATTGGACTGTCCCTCTATTCATCCTATGCGAAACAATAAAAGCTATTTCTGAATTAGAAAGGACACTGAAATTGGCCAACTTTCTGCTTGAAATTGACTGCTTTGACTTCCAACCCCAATCACATAAAAATTTAAAGAAAGACCAGGAGGAAGCCCCTAAAAAAAAGATACAGGGACAAAAGCTGTATCTGTTCATCTTGCTTGTTCAAATTCTCGTAGGAACAGTTCTGTCACAGTTAGCATTTGAGGAAAATCAGGTATATCAAGCCCTCGATTAACTTCTCATACAAATTTTGAATTCACAGGTCAACTTACTTTCCCAGTA